GGCGTGAGCCACCAGCGCCCAGCTTAAATATACACATAAATTATCTGAGAAATAGAATAAAAATGGATTCAAACTTTAGAGGCAAAGGGGAAGCCAAAACCACAGAGGATATGATTGCTGTACAGTTTTCAATTGTTCTGCAGTTGCTTCCTTTCTATGTTCACTCAGAGGGCCTATGAAGGTCTAACCTTATAAATGTGTATTCATCTCTTCCAAATCAATTTTTTTTTTTTTTTTGGTCGGTCGTGGGGCTTGAACTCTGGGCCTGGGCGCTGTCCCTCAGCTCTTCAGCTCAAGGCAAGTGCTCTACCACTTGAGCTACAGCGCCACTTCCGGTTTTCTGGTGGTTTATTGGAGATAGGAGTCTCACAGTCTCTCCTGTCTGGGCTGGCTTTGAACTGCGATCCTCAGATCTCAGCCTCCTGAGTAGCTAGGATTACAGGCGTGAGCACCAGCGCCCTGCTTCCAAATCAATTTTTTATATCAATATTCCATCCATTTGTTGATTGTAACATAGTGTAAAAGTGACTTAATCATAAAACCTTGTACCAAAATAGATGTAATGGTTGACACTAATCACTTTGCCTGGGATGCACACATGCACACAAATACATCACTCAAAACAAACAACAAATCACCAAATACAACAGGAATAGAAAATGGAAAAAGGTGAATGTCTAGAGTAACAGAAATATAAGTCAGTAATGTTATTGTTGAGATATTTTCCTTTTGATTATATAATTAATAGCAATTGTCAGCAATGGTTCTATCACATTTCCCTTTTTACATGAACAATCATAAATAATGATCTCAACATTGGATGCTCTATGAACACTGACATCACAATTTTATTGAGTGTCAAACTCAAGTTAGAGCAATTTTCTTGTTGTTGTTTTTTGTTTTGTTTTGTCAGTCATGGGGCCTGAACTCAGGGCTTGGTGCCGTCCCTCAGCTCTTCAGCTCAAGAGTAATGCTCTACCACTTGAGCCACAGCACCACTTCCAGCTTTTTCTGCATATATGGTGCTGAGGAATCGAACCCAGGGCCTCATGCATGCAAGGCAAGCACTCTACCACTGCGGCACTTTCCCAGCCCCAAGAGCAACTGTTCTGAACTTAATAATGGCAGATAACAAATTTGGAATTGCCGTAAGGACAGGATGAGGTCATCATAGGTTCTGAAGCTAGTTCTGGAGGTCAATTTTTGGGAGTCAGTAGAAGTAAATTAATTCAGAGAATATTTTCAGACTATACATCAGTAGAAAATACGAGTCTAGAGGTTTATCTCAGTGGTAAAGTCCTAACATGTGGGTCCCTGCATTGGATTCCTAGCACCTCAGAAAATAAAATGTTTTATATTTCTATTTATTCTATGTATTTCTCACCAGGTATATGAAAATCATATATATGAACATACATACATGTATGTATATATGAGAAGTGCTTGTAAATTTCTCTCATGTATTTTGAATTCACTAATGAGCACTAGATTATTAGAGCCCATATAAATTCTGCCCCTAGGTGCAGTCTCAGACAGGACTAGAAAAATGTATTTGCCTATTTTAAGCCAGCTCTCACCAAATTATGCTTCACTCTGAGAAAATTCATTTATCAGGTGCTTATAAAAAGTCAAAGTATGACTAAGAACAGAATTTTATAGGCTTTATGCTTTTATTTGTGACAAGCCAAGAGACTCTGAGAATATGAAAAGATAAGTGTTTGACAGTTTCTAATGATTACTTTCATTTGCCCAAATAAAGAAAACGCTTTTTTGTTCTTTCTTTTTGGAGACAAGATCTCACTAAATAACCCAGTCTGACCCCAGCCTCCTGTTCCTCATCCTTCCAAGTTCTGGGATTACAGACCTGCTCTACCATGCCTGGAAAGCCATGCTGCCTTAAAAAGAGAGAGAGAGAGAGAGACACACACACACACACATTCTCAAATGTGCTAGTATATGATGTATATTTTTCTAAACATTTTATTTGTAAGAAATGATCAAATGGATATGAGCTTAATATCTCCCCTCAGTAAAAACTATAAAACAAAATAACAATTTATATTCAGGCACCAGTTGCTCACACCTCACACCTGTAATCCTAGCTTCTAAGGTGGTTGAGATTTGAGGACTGTGGTTTGAAGCCAGCCTAGGCAGTAAAGTCCATGAGAATATTATTTATAAACTTATCTCATAAACTGTCCCCCCAAAACCCAGAAGTAGAATTATGGCTCAAGTGGTAGAGCACTAGCCTTGAGCAAAAGAAGCTCAGGGACAGTGCACAGGCCCTGAGTTCAAGCCTCAGGACCAACACACCAACACACACACACACACACACACACACACACACACACACACACACGCACGCACGCACGCACGCACTGATTTTAAATAATTGGAAAATGCAATGGCCTGGAAAAAAACTGAAGAACTCTGTCTTCTAGTATATTTTCCAAGTGCATGTTATCTATTTTTACTTCAAAGAGAAAGTCACATACGCATACATACCCATCCATACACATTAGTGTACTTCATTTTAGAAGTCTGGAGCTTCTACTCTGCTACATTTTGCAGGTTGCTGGGGAATCTGACCCAGGATCTTGTGCACATGCTAAGCACAGGATCTCCCATTGAGTTTTACTCCGAGACTCTCTGCTACATTCTTAAGGAAAAACTGGTCAATATTCAATAGACAGAGCAAAAGTTAGGATGATTACCTATGGAGTTTTCTGCTAAGACAAATTTGGAAATACAAAGGATGCTGGGCACTGGTGGCTCACTCCTTAATCCTAGCTACTCAGCAGGCTGAGATCTGAGGATCAGGATCATGATTCAAAGCCACTGTAGGCAAAATAGTCCATGAGAATTTTTTTTCTTTTCTTTTCTTTTTTGGTCATGGGGTTTAAACTCAAGGCCTGGGTGCTGTCCCTGAGTTTTACCTCTCAAGGCTAGCGCTCTACCACTTTCAGCCACAGTGCCATTTCTGGTTTTCTAGTGGTTAATTGGAGATTAAGAGTCTCACAGACTCTCCTGCCCGAACTGGCTTTGAACCACAATCCTCAGATTTCAGCCTCATGAGTAGCTAAGATTACAGGCATCAGCCACAGGCAACTGGCCTGTTATCTCCAATAAACTACTCAGAAAAAGGAAACTCTTTTTAGATCCTCAAACTATTTTATATGAATTTATGAATTTCAATGAATTTTCCAGATCAATAATCATATTTACATAGACAGAATTGATCATTATTAATTGTAATTATAAAATGGGAATCCATTCATAGTAACATAGGCAACTTTATAACTCTTTTAATCACTCATAGATTAAAGACTTATTACTTGCTAACAACCCTTGCAAATCCTTACATTGTACCTACAAACCTGAAAGAGTAACTTTATAGCAAGTAGGAATTTTTTTAGTCAGTTCTCCTTGTTAGCCCAGGTTGGCTCAAATTCATGATATTCTTGTTTTAGTCTCCCAAGTGCTGGGATTGTAGGCAAATGCTTCCACATTCGGTTTAGCAAGGAGTATTTTTTAGAAGAAACAGGCTGGCTGGGTGTGTGGCTCAAATGGTAGGTAATACTTAGCAAGACCATGGCCCTGATTTCAATCCCCAGTATCACCAAAAACAAAACACCTTACTGACTCCACTCACAGTACTGACATATCACTGACAGTGAGAGATAAGAACTGGGACCTGAAAAATATGGGTAATGCTATATAATAATTTAATATATTTGTGTGTGTGTATGCATGTGTGTGTGTGTGTGTGTGTGTGTGTGTAGTTGTTGTTGGTGGTGGTGGGGCTTGAGCTTGAACTCTGGGCCTAGGTGCTATCTCTGAGGTCTTTAGCTCAAGGCAAGTGCTCCACCACTTGAGCCACAGTGCCACTTCCAGTTATCTGGAATTTTATTGGAGATAAGAGTCTCATAGATTTTCCTGCCCAGGGTTGGCTTTGAACCATGATCCTCAGATCTCAGCCTCCTGAGTAGCTACGATTATAGGTGTAAGCCTCTGGTGCCCAGCTTAATTTAAAATATTTTTAAAAGTGATTTTATTAAGGCCACAAAATTTGAGATGTCAAATTCTGACATGCATTTCCAATCAAAAAGAAATCCTAATAGAGTAGGTCCATTAGTAATGGCTGGACATAAGCTAATGATTAGAAATCTTTAACTTTTTAATGTTCAACACAAGAAATCTACAGCCTTTATCTGCACAAAGGAAACAGTTTGCTGGTTCCAGTTATGCTATTTATAACAAAGATTTTTGTTTTGTTGTTTTTGAAATAGGATCTTGCTCTTCAGCTTAAACTAGCTTCAAACCTTATAGGGCTGGAGGCTGTGGGCTCAAGTGTCTATCTTGCAAATGTGGGCCCTGAGTTCGATCTCGAGCACAAAACAGAAGAAAACTGGTAGCAAGAGAAGGAAGAGATGATAGATAATGTGTTAAAGGAAATATACTCAATACCTGACTTTTGTTATCCCTCCATACATCACCTCAATAATAACAATAAAGTAACTTTTAAAAAAAGAAGGAAAAGAAATAACTGTATTGTCAAAGCTCATAGAACTCATAAACTTTATAGACCACAATAAAGACAATTTGCCCCATGAAGGTTAGAATGTGTTTGTGACTTTAACTAAGTATGACTATCTCACAATACTGTAAAATTTGTGAAATTTATTATAATCACTTAATCACGATAAAAAAAATTGCTATTAAAAAAAAGGAAAAAAGCAAACAAAAACCCCTCTCTCTACATAGCCTAGGCTGAGTTTAAATTCTTGATTCTTCTGCCTCAGCCTCCTAAGTGCTGAGATTTCAAGCATGTGCCACCATCACTGGCTGTCATGAAGGTTGTTTTGAGTTTTGTTTTATTTTTCCAGTTCTGGGGCTTGACTCAGGGCACTGTCCCTGAACTTCTTTTGCTCAAGGCTAGCACTCTACCACTTGAGTCATAGCACCATTTCTGGCTTTTTCTGTTTATGTAGTACTGAGGAATAGAACCCAGAGCTTCATGCATACGAGGCAAACACTCTACCATTAAGCCATATTCCCAGCCTCATGAAGGGTTTTGAACCATTAAGATACATATTCTAGAGGCTGCGACTGTAGCTCAATAGTGGAGTCGCTCAAGGTCGTGGGTTTAATCCTTAGCACCAAGAACAAAACAAAACAAAAACCAACCAACCAAAAGCTCATTACACAAATGTAGTTTTTCTTTTATCTTCAAAGATCGGGAGTCAAAGTCTTATCATTATCAAACTGATCAAGTTCAGCTTCAAGTTGCAAATGGATCCCTGATGCCATTCAAGTGCTTACTCATCCTTTATTCTTCACTGTCCATAATGAAGAGCTAAAAACAGACCTTTTGTCCTTTTGGTTCAGGGAAGACAAGCTATTCAAAAACATGTGTTTCCTAGAGCAAGATGGTGAGGTGGGCTTAGTGAGATGGGAGTGACATAGACTTTTTAAATACCCTAAATCCTTTCTCTGGCCCAGGATATGGTGGTGGAGGTGAGACATTGTGTTTTCTGGTCAGTGCCACTGCCTGTTCATAAGAAGGTAATCCTGTGTCCTCTAACGATGGTGATCGAGACAAAACAGCCTCCTCTGGTCTTCTGAAAATGATGGAAGGAGTATGGTGGTTGCTTCTTGCATACATAGCTGAAGAACTAAACAGAGAGATAGCATTTTAGGTCTAAGAAAGATAGCGTTTGGGGGCTAAAATGCTGACATCACAAAATTCAACTGTCTTAATAAATGTTGACACCAGCTTAGTAAAATAACGATAGCTTTAAGTTCTTTTTTTCTTTCTTGGCAGCCACCAAGCTACAAGCTACATCCTAGCTGTATAACAACAATTTTATTTCACCCATATACTCTGGAAGAGTCTTGCTATAGTGGAAAAGCTAAGAGCTTTGAAGCCAGACATGAGTTTGAAACCTGAGTCTCATTCTATGGCTATGTGAACAAAATCAATTTCCCTGACTCAGGGTACTCTTCCTCTAGATGGGGATAATAGTAGCTACCTCAATATAGTTGTGAACAGAGGAAGATGATTTATGTAACATAAAACATCATGTTTCTATTACATACCTCTAGCAGTGTCTGGCACATGATAACGAAGACTTGAAATATGTGAACTGCCTTTTCTTTGGCTCCTGAATTAAAATTTTTTCCAAGTATGATGTGAGATCAATTAATTCCAGGATTTGCTGCAAGCTGGCATAACTCCAAGCCAAGAAAACAGATGCCATGGAGATAATTACAACAGCTGACACCCATCCCTACTGCTCTTTCCTCAAGTCCTGCTACCTGGTCAACCCTTCACAAACAGAATTTACACCATGCCTATCTCCTGCTTCTCAAAAGTATAGTGGTAGGGCTGGGAAGGTGGCTCAGTGGTAGAGCGCTTGCCTTGCATGCCAGAGGCCCTGGGTTCGATTCCTCAGCACCACATAAGCAAAAAGAAAAAAGCCGGAAGTGGCGCTGTGGCTCAAGTGGTAGAGCGCTAGCCTTGAGCTGAAGAGTTGAGGGACAGCGCCCAGGCCCAGAATTCAGGCCCCACGACCGGACCCAAAAAAAAAAAAAAAGTATAGTGGTAGCCTGCTTTTTGAAGAATTCTGTTCTAACTGTGGAGCCTCCTTTTCAAAGCTTTCCTCTGTGTGTGTGTGTATGTGTTGGGGCACTGGTGCTTGAACTCAGGGCTTGGGAGCGGGTGCTGTCCCTTAATTTTTTTGCTCAAGTCTGACACTCTACCATATGAGCCACAGCTCCACTTCTGACTTTTTGCTGGTTAATTAGAGATAAAAAAATCAGACTTGGGGCTGGGAAGGTGGCTCAGTGGTAGAGCGCTTGCCTTACATGCCTGAGGCCCTGGGTTCGATTCCTCAGCACCACATAAGCAAAAAGAAAAAAGCTGGAAGTGGTGCTGTGGCTCAAGTGGTAGAGTGCTGGCCTTGAGCTGAAGAGCTGAGGGACAGCGCCCAGGCCCAGAGTTCAAGCCCCACGACTGGACCAAAAAAAAAAATCAGACTTTTCTGTCCAGGTTTGGCTTTGAACTGTGATCCTCAGATCTCAGCCTCCTAAGTACCTCCTAAGTAGGTAGGACTACAGGGGAGAGCCACCTGTTCTTTTTTTTTTTTTTGTCCGCTGTGCGGCTTGAACTCTGGGCCTGGCCACTGTCCCTGAGCTCTTCAACTCAAGGCTTGAGCCATGTGCCACTTCTACTTGAGCCATAGTGCCACTTCCAGTTTTCTGGTGGTTAATTGGAGATAAGAGCCTCACGGATGGTCCTGCTTGGGCTGGCTTTGACCTGCTATCCTCAGATCTCAGCCTCCTGAGTAGCTAGAATTACAGGCAGGAGCCACCAGACTCTCCTCTTCTTTGGTAGCTCATTGTTCTTGCTGAAGCAACTCTTTTTTAATTAGCATATATTAGTTCATAAAGGGGAAATCTCCATTGTGACATTTCCACACAAGTAAACAAAATATCCCATTCAGCTTCATCCCTCTATCACTCTCCCCTTTCTTCCCTTTCTTAAAACAATTTCAACAGGTTTCATTGTTCTATTTTTACACATGCAAATAAGATACTTTGACTGTATTCATCCTCCTTCCCCCGTATTCCTCAGTGAAGCAGCTTTACACTCCTCTGCTGTGGGCAGCTCGAACTCCAGACCTTCTCTGGGCTTCCACTGTATTGCTGTACTGAGAATATCTTTTTTGTCTTTCCACTAACCTAAGCCAACTTAAAAAAGAAATAAATATATATTATATATATGAACACACACACACACATTGTGTGTGTGTGTGTGATATACATGTATGTCACTTAATTTCAGCTAGGGATGAAGAACTCCATGGGAGAGTGCTTGCCTAGCATATTCAAGGCCCTAGTACTAGGGAATTGTGTGAAGGACACTTAGTTCCTACTATTTCCACAAAAACTAGTCAGCCAATGACAGGTGAAAGAGACTGGGAAGGTGGCTCAGTGGTAGAGCGCTTGCCTTGCATGCATGAGGCCATGTGTTCGATTCCTCACCACCACATACGCAGAAAAAGCCAGAAGTGGAGCTATAGCTCAAGTGGTAGAGCGCTAGCCTTGAGCTGAAGAGCTGAGGGACAGCACCCAGACTCAGAGTTCAGGCCCCACGACCGACCAAAATAAAAAAAGGAGAAAAAAAGATATGATAACCGCATATCTTCTGGGCTTGTTATTGTAAACTTTAAAGCCCTAAATAATTTTGTTTTAAAAGTAAGATTAGTAATATTTGATAGTGGTACTGTGGATCAAGTAGGAGAGAGCTAGTCTTGAGCTGAAGAGCTCAGGGACAGTGCAGAATTCAAGCCCCATGACCAACAAAAAATAAAAATAAAAACAATTTAAAAATTAAAAAGCTGGTTGCTGGTGGCTCACACCTATCATCCTAGCTACTCAGGAGGCTGAGATCTAAGGGTCATGGTTCAAAGCCAGCCAGGACAGTGAAGTCCGCGAGACTCTTATCTCCAATAAACCACTAGAAAACTAGAAGTGGTGCTATGGCTCACATGGTAGAGTGCTCACCTTGAGCTGAAGAGCTCAGGGACAGCGCCTAGACCCAGAGTTCAAGCTCTATGAGTGACCAAAATAAATAAATAAATTTGATTAATGTGTACCATATTCTTTCCCAGGAACTGGTAGTTTAAGACCCTAAGTACCGCAAACTTTTTAAAAACTGAATCAGCCGATTTGCCTCTGAAAATACCTTTTTTCCCACGGAAGTAATTATCAGATCTGAACTGAAAGGAAGGAGAGAAAAAAATACAGAGAGAAAAGAGAAGCAAAAAAGTCTGTGTAAGCTAGGAACTGGATAATCAACCCTTCAATAGTTGTGAGGTGACTGAGAGGATATTAGTTTACTTAGAGGGCTTAACACAATTCTTCCTCTGTCAGAAAGTTGGGAGTGTATTCATGGTAGGTTAGTTCCTTGCCACACTTTGTTAGCTTAAGTGTTTGCTTACAGGGAACAGGACAGACAAGATACTTCATTTGAACAAATAATTTTTTCCATGTTAATTTTCAAAACTGAATAATAGGAGCAGCGTAATAATTACATTGTTCATTAAATATTTCTGTAGTGTTTCCTTGTACAGCATGCATCCTATAGGATTGAAATCAGAAAGTATGTACTAATGAATATCTTTAAAATGGCAATATTAGATGAAGCCTGTTTTCCTCTGCTAAATCCAGGAACCAAGAAATGAAAAGATCTTGTTTTCCATCTCTTGGCATCTTTAAACAGAGGCAATTTTTTCTGACAATGATCTTATTTTCAGTCTTTTTCTGAGTATTCCCACCCTTCCTCCCACTTTCAGACTTGCAAAACAGAGAACAAGCAACTGTGATAGAACAATTTATGGAGACAGTGGATGATGCAGAGTACTTCAGGAACTATTTGAAAATTAATCTCAACTAGGAGCATATCCAGTAAGTTTATCTTGAAATAGTCTTCTGAAACTCAAAGGAGTTGCTGTGAGGACCTGGTTGACATACTGGTTGTCAAAATGCCAGTAAACCATCTGTTAACTAGACTAATATTAAGGGATAACTAATCTTAGCTTTAAAATGAAAGCCATCCACAGTATTCAATTTTACTATAACAGAAACCTAGGACATACCATAATTATGCCACACTTGACTGTTTCTTCTTATGCCTTTCTTTTCTTTTTTTGACACAGTATCTAGTTCTGTTGCCCAGGCTGGCTTTGAACTCCTGGGCCTAAGCCATTCTCCTACTCCAGCCTCATGAGTACCTAAGAATACAGATGGGTTTGTGTACTTAGCCTCTCTGTGTCTACACAGTAGGAAGCATCCTACTTCTCCTATGCAAGAAAGAAGCTGAGAATGTTTCAGGAAAAAGCTAAGGAAAGATAGAGATGTAGAAAGTTAGGCAAATAAGGTAAAGCAGAGGAGCGAGGAGACAATGATGCATGAAGACATTGGATAATCTCTATGTTATATCACCTAGAGTAAATGGAATCTAGGGTCTTCAGCAACAATAGACAACTGTTCTCCCACTTGTCCTCTCAATGGAGTGAAGGTATTAAAATAACGACATACATGAAATTTTTTCAGAAAACCATTGTGAATGGGAGGAAAAAAAGATGAGTTTGATAGCTGAAGCCTATAATCATTGCTACTTCTGGAGGCTAAGATAGGATTGCAGTTTGAGGCCAGCCTGGGCATAAAAGTTCCACCTCAACCAGTGGCTGGGCATGGTGTTGTGTGTGCCTGTCATTTCAGTTATGGGGGAAGTACATGGCTGGGTGCAGTGGCACAAGCCTGTCGTCCCCAGTGACCTGGGGAAATATAAGTAGGTGAAGTACAGTCTAGACAAGCCAGGACATAAAGCTAGACCATTCTTACACCAAAAATAAGCTGGAAACTTCAATAGAGTGGTAGAGAGCCTGATAAGCAAGAGGCCCTGAGTTCAATAAGATAAAAAGTCAATGAAATTCTCCAAAGACACATTTTCCCTATACTCACTAATCTTTATGATTCTCCAGCTTACAGAGAAAGCCACAAGAAATAAAACCTTGATCAAAGGACCTACCAAATGAAAAGATTTGCTCATTCCCCATCAGTTAAATAGGGGGAAATGGTAGAGGTCTTAGCTTAAAGAAAAATATACACTCTTTCTTACTTTCTCATTTCTCAAATTTCTATAGAATTTGTAGAGACAAACCCTGTAGAGCACTCCTGTAGATCACACAATGCTTTGGTGAGCATTTCAAGAGTTCCAGTGTGGGATACAATTGGAGAACAATTTATTTTGTCCCTTTCCCTGCCCTCTAGCTGGAAGTTCCTCTTGTTTCTGCACACTTACTGTGGGGCATCTCAAAAGACAGTTCCCTTCTGTCCTTTCCTTATACTCAAAGAACTCACCTGCTCTCACAGCTTCAACTTTTGTCCTTCAACAGGGGAATTCATATTCACATTTGTTGCTTTACACTCTTGCTTTTTGTGTATGTGTATGCCCATCCTGAGACTGTGCACTGTCCCTAAGCTTTGGTTTTTTGCTCAAGACTAGCACTCTACCAGTTGAGCCACAGCTCCACTTCCTGCTTTCTAGTGGCTAATTGGAGATAACAGTCTCATAAACTTCCTTGCCTGAGCTGGCTGTGAACTATGATCCTCAGATCTTAGCCTCCTAAGTAATTAGGATTACAGACATAAGCCAACAATGCTCAGCTGCCCTCTTACTTTTTATTCCAATAATTTTTTTGTTAATACCTATGTATATTAGATACATAATTTTTCTTTTCAGGTATACAGATTTTAAGAGAACAATTCAGTAGTAAGAATTACATTTACAATGTATATGCTATACTAACTATGAGACTTTTTTTTTTTTTTTTTTGGTCCATCATGGGGCCTGAACTCTGGGCCTGGGCACTGTCCCTCAGCTCCAGTTTTCTTCCACTTGAGCCATACCACCACTTCCAGCTTTTCCTGCTTATGTGAGGCTGAGGAATCAAACCCAGGGCCTCATGAATGCAAGGCAAACACTCTACCACTAAGCCACCTTCCCAGCCCATGGGGCTATTTTTTTTTTTTTTGGGGGGTCCGGTCCTGGGGCCTGAACTCTGGGCCTGGGTGCTGTCCCTCAGCTCTTCAGCTCAAGGCTAGCACTCTACCACTTGAGCCACAGCACCACTTCCAGCTTTTTATTTTTTGCTTATGTGGTGCTGAGGAATCGAACCCAGCCACCTTCCCAGCTCCAGGGCTATTTTTTTTAAAGAAACATAAACACTGTATGGGAAGATGTAACCTGTCTTATGTAAGTTTCAAGAAAGATCTTAATTTGCAAATTAATAACTAAAAGTTTATTGAGTACTTATTCTCCTGCCTGCCTGCCTTCCTTCCTTTCCTCGTTTCTTTCTCTTTCTTTATTTTGCAGATTCCATAAGATTTTGCTCAGCTTTCTTGTTTGAGTCACACCTCCAGTCCAGCATTTTACTGGTTAGTTGGGGATCTAGGCTCACAAACTTTTCTGTCCAAGTTGGCTGGCATTGAACCATGATCCTCTATATTGGAGCTTGGAGCCCCCTGAGTAGCTAGGATTACAGGCATGAGCCATTGGCAACTGGTAGCACAGTACTTTTTCTTTCTGGTCCATGGGCACTGTCAAGCTCATCTGCTCAAGGCTAGCACTCTGCCACTTTGAGCCACAGCTCCACTTCTGGTTTTTGAGTGGTTAATTAGAGATAAGAGTCTCTTGGACTTCCCTGCCTGGGCTGCCTTTGAACCTCAATTCTTAGATCTCAGCCTCCTGAATAGCTAGGATTACAGGTGTGGGCTATCAGTGCTTGGCAGCACAATGCTTTTTTTTTTTTTTTTTTTTTTTTTATCATCATGTACGTTTAAAAAAATTACTGCAGGTCAGCCAGGACAGGAAAGTCTTGCAACTCCTATCTCCAATAACCACCAAAAAGCAATTGGAAGTAGAGAGGTGGTTCAAGAAGTAAGAGTCTTTTTGATCAAGGCCAATGTTCACCCACTTGAACCACAACTTCATTTTCAGCTTTTTGATGGTTAATTGGAGATAAGAGTCTGGTTTCACCAGGCGCTGATGGCTCATGCCTGCAATCCTAGCTACTCAGGAGGCTGTGATTTGAGGACTGCAGTTCAAAGCCAGCCCAGGCAGGAAAGTCCATGAGACTCTTAACTTGAATAAAGCACCAGAAAACCAGAAGTGGTCCTGTGACTCAAGTGGTAGAGCCATAGCCCTGAGCTGAAAGCTGAGGAACAATCCCCAGGCCTCCAAGCCCCACAACCAAAAAAAAAAAAAGAGTAGTTTCAAACAGTGATCCTCGGGAGCTGGGAAGATGGCTCAGTGGTAGAGTGCTTGCCTTGCATGCCTGAGGCCGTGGGTTCGATTCCTCAGCATCACATAAGCAAAAAGAAAAAAGCCGGAGTGGTGCTGTGGCTCAAATGGTAGAGTGCTAGCCTTGAGCTGAAGAGCTGAGGGACAGCGCCCAGCCCCAGCGTTCAGGCCCCATGACCGGACCCAAAAACAACAAAAACAAAAACAAAACAGTGATCCTCAAATCTCAGCCTCCTGAGTAGGTTGGATTTCAGGTGTGAGCCCCTGGTGCCCAGCTCTTTTGTTTCTTACTGTTCTGCATTATATTGCATTTATACTTGGATAGTTGTACAATCATCTTTTAAAATGGTTCAAAGCCCAAAAAGTTAGTGAGACACTGTTTTACTCACTAAGTTGGCCATGATGGTATGCCCCTGTGGTTTCAGCCACTAGGATCCCAGAGAGAAGGATCTTTGTCTAGGGCTACCTCTGGCCAATAGCATAATTAGTAAAAGTAGAAAAAACTGCTTCAAGGCTATATGGGAAATCTCTGCTTTGGCAACTTACCTGATTATATTCTAGTTTATTTCCTTTTTAAATAATAGGCAGCCATTTGTTTGATACATCTTAAAATAATGATATAGAAAGTATAAATGAACTGAATACTTTTACTTACCACAAGTCTGGTTGCCTATTACACTTGGTGATACAAAAATAGTAGCCAAGTAATCCAAAAATAACCAAAAATACTCCAGCAGCAATTAGTCCAGTCAGAAGACCCATAACATCAATTTTCTCTCTGTTGACATCTTAAAAGAAATAGTTAAAATAAATATATTTTATAACTAAAACACAACAATGAAAATCTATCATCTACCATTTCAATAAATTTGACACATTATGAAATATATAATTATTGATTATATATATTTATTTATAACAGTACTGAGGCTTGGACTCAGAGCTAGGGCATTGTCCCTTTTTGCTGAAGGCTGGCATGCTACCACTTGAACTACAGCTTTACTTCTGATTTCTGGTGCTTAACTGAAGATAAGTTTCTCATGGACTTCCCTGCCTGGGATAGTTTTGAAGCATGATCCTCAGATCTCAGCCTCCTGGGCAGCTAAGATTATAGGCATAATCCACCAGTACCAGGCTGATAATGACTTTTAAAAATTCTGTAGTACAGCTAGCTGAGCATGGTGGCTCATTCCTGCAATTCCAGCTACTCAGGAATCTCCAATAAACCACAAGAAAACTGGAAGTGGCACTATAGCTCAAGTGGTAGAGGACTAGCCTTGAGCTGAAGAGCTGAGGGACAGGGCTCAGGCCTAGAGTTCATGCCCCACGACCGACCAAAAAAAAAAAAAAAAGAAAAACAAAAAAACAAGTAGACTGGATACCAGTGGCTCACACCTGCTTTCCTAGCTACTCAGGAGACTGAGATCTAAGAATCATAGTTCAAAGCCACTCTGGGCAGAAAAACACATGAGCCCCTTATCTCCGTGAAACCAGCATAAAGGCAGAAGTGGAAGTATGCCTCAGAAGATTAGAGTTCCAGTCTTGAGTGAAAAAGCTAAGTGATAGCACTCAGGCCCTGAGTTCAAACCCCAGTATCAGCACAAAAAGAAAAATAAAAACAAGTTTAAAAAACTCAGAAAGAGGGCTGGGAAGGGGTTGGGAAGGTGGCTCGGTGGTAGAGTGCTTGCCTTGCATGCATGAGGCCTTTGGTTCGATTCCTCAGCACCACGTAAGCAGAAAAAGCCGGGAGTGAGGCTGAGGCTCAAGTGGTAGAGTGCTGGTCTACAGCTGAAGAGCTGGGGGGACAGCACCCAGGCCCAGAGTTCAGGCCCCACAATCAAAAAAAAAAAAAAAATGAGTAAGAGATGAGCTATAAAGATAAGATAAAGGGTTTTCCTCTCCCTACTAGTAGTTTAATTTCTGGGCTGGGTTCAGTGGGTCCTCCCTGTAATGATAGGTACCTAGAAGGTAGAGAGCTTGAGGGTAGAGGTTCAAGACTCATCAGCACAAAAAGTTAGCATAACTCATCAAAGCTAGGTGTAGTGGCAGGAATTACTCATCTCAGCAATGTGGAAAGTATAAATAGAGGGATCAAGGTCCAAATCTGTCTATACATAAATATGAGATCTTATTCAAAACTTAATGAAGGCAAAGACGAATAGGGTCATGACTCAAGTGGTAGAGTGCCTACCTAGCAAACCTAGAATCACTAAGTTCAAACCCCAGTACTAACAAAAGACAGAAAAAATGTAATTCTAGTCAACTTTTTTTCTTTCCTTCCTTCCTTCCTTGTCTTTTTCTCCTCTCTCTCCCTTCCCATCTCCTTCTCTTTCCCTCTCTTTTTTCTTCTCCCTCCCTTTTATTTTCTCTTCTTTTTTTTCCATGCTGAAGATTGACCCTAGGGTCTTGCAATCTATCACTGCGCTACAGCTACAGCTCCTATCCAACCATCTTAATTTACCTAGCACAAGTATTCCATTCATTTGTAATGATAAAAAAAGAAAAAGTTAAACGAGTTCACAACTTGAAACTAAGAGTTCTACTTGTTCTCTTACAAGTCTTGACTTATAACTGAAAGGTTTAAAACAGCTTTATGTTGATTATCTCATTTCTCTAATATCTCACCAAACTTGCTTTTCAGTATATAAATAGATGAAGGTAGTCTTCTGTGCCTCAGATAGCCCAGTATATAATTGAGAAATATTCCTTGGGTTTAGAAAGTATGTATGTTGAACAACAGCCAAACTCAAACACAGAACTAAAATGCATTACAATACATTGAGAGCAAGGAAAACATTCAAGTTTTTCAGGTCTTGCCTTACCTGATTTTGTGGTTGGTCCTTTAATCGAATATTCCTGCCAAAATGTCATCTAAGAGAAAGATAGAATTTCCAAGTTTATGCAATCTACAATCACTTCATTTGTTCCTAGTGACCTAAACGAGGGGTGGTAAGCTCTTGGCCTACATCTGAGGTGGGACACCAGTTCATTCAAGCTGAAGGGCGTGACTCACCCTCATTAAAACACTACTTCTCACCCTGGTCTCTGCAGTCTGCTTAATTGGTTAAGGGAATACTTCATTCTCAGCTCTCCCAAGTGAGGACTTTCCCATTTAGTGAACAGCCTGGTGTTGGTGGCTCATGCCTGTAATTCTAGTTACTCAGGAGGCTGAGACCTAAGGATCAAAGTTGTAAGTCAGCCCAGGCAGAAAAGTTCTAGCAAGACTCTTATCTCCAACTAATCACTCAAAAACTGGAAGTGGAGCTGTGACTCATAGTGGTAGAGCACTAACTAGCCTTGTGCAAAAGAGCTCAGGGATAGTGCCCAGGCGCCGAGTTCAAGCCCCACAACCAACAACAACAAAAAAGAAGAAAAAAAAAAAGTGAACATTACAAAGGTAGTAATTGGAGCTATGGACCCGTTACGATATTTGAATAAGAGTCTGAATTTTTCTATGTTACGGTGGCCCTCAGTTTGGTAGGGTATTTTATTTTATTTATTTATTTATTTTTAGTGATTTGTACATATTTAGCACATATTTATTATTATATATTATTATAGTAATATATAATAGTATATAGTATATAACAGTATTACATATTATTATTTATATTTATTACACATTTAGTACATATTTATTTTTAATAAACTTCAAAATGGATTCAGATGAATTTGGTTAATGGAGTAATAATGTCTAGGAACCATTGTGTTATGCTATTTGTGAAGCCTTTTCTATTTCTCACTCAGGGAAAAATATATATGCATATATATGTATATTTAGTGGTCATTTCCAAGGTAGATTTTTTTTTTTAATATTCTATTCTCCTTTCCTGTTTTATTTTTTTTTCCCCCTACCATCCCCTCCCTCCCTCCCTTCCCTGAGGTTCTTTTTTTTTATTGTGATTAAGTGATCACATAATTTCCAGAATTTCACAGTATTGTGGAATAATGATGCTCATTTAAAGTCACAAGTTCATTCTAACTTTCCTGGAGCAAATTGTCTATCACAGTCTGAAACATATAACGGTGTTCACATGTTATACACCATATATGTGATCAGCAGCATGGGGATATTTAGTAGTGGTTCAACCAGATGAGTGGGAGTTCTTTGTTTCTTAAGTCCTGTTAGTTTTGTCGTATCACCTAACATTTTGGATTTAACATCCACTTATCAGGGAGACCATGTACCGTTTGTCTCTTCGTTCTTGGCTTACCTCGCTCAACATGATTCCTTCTAGCTCCATCCATTTCCCTGCAAATGCCATTATTTTGTCATTTCTAATGGCTGCATAATATTCCATTGTGTATAGATACCACAGTTTTTGGATCCATTCATCTGTGGTGGGGCATCTGGGTTGTTTCCATATCCTAGCTATTGTAAACAGTGCTGCAATAAACATGGAGGTGCACGTGTCCTTGTATATTGGTTCCTGTTGTTCAGGGTATTTTATTGAAAGCTACTTACTGCTGCTATCCCTGAGATAATTTAAGTTCTCAGACATTTAAAAGAAGTTAGGTTTTAAATAATAATGATAAAATTAGAAAATGAGTTTGTGTGCAGTATAGCTTACATCTATAGTTCTAGCCCTTCGAGGCTGAGATCAGGAGGAACATCAGGCGCACGTGCGCGTACACACACACACACACACACACACACACACACACACACACATCTCAACTAACACAACTGTAAAATATACTGTTCCTTTTCCCACTTTGTTAAATACAGCAAATATTTGCAGAAAACAGTAGACTGGGCACAAATATGGAAGAATAGAATGAGTTTCTTTTACCAAAGGCATTTGAATAATGCCTGAAAGGTCCTCACTGAGTAAAAAAGTAAAACATGGTTTGACAAAAAAGAAAAGGAGCTCCAGTTATTTAGTCTACAGAAGAATTTGGATCACTTAACTTTCTTCAAGATTGTGCTAGATTACCTCTAGCTCAGTGTTATTTATCTGTTTTGTGATCAAGATTAACAGATAGGATTTAAGTACATATTTTAAGGGAGAGTTTCTAAAACAAAACTTCCTTAAATTACACAGAAAGACCAGTGTAAGCTCTTGAATGCAGATGTACTAGCAAAACAGCACAAAGTAGATTGTCAGTTAAAGACTTGAAATATGAGTATGGGTCATCAAAGTAAAGATCATGATGGAAGAAATTGCTGAGTTTTAAATGTTTGAAACATGAGTCAGAGTACTAACTTAAACGATATCTTGTTTTCTGGGTGGGGAAGCCAGGTATTAAGCCCAAGGTCTCCTGCTGTTTTTTTTTTTTTTTTCTTTTTGCTTATATGGTGCTGAGGAATCGAACCCAGGGCTTCAGGCATGCAAGGCGAGCGCTCTACCACTGAGCCACCTTCCCAGCCCTCCTGCTGTTTTTTTGTTTTTTTTTTTTGCCAGTCATGGGGCCTGAACTCTGGGTCTGGGAGCTATCCCTCAGCTCTTCAGCTCAAGGCTAGCGCTTTACCACTGGAGCCACAGCGCCAATTCTGGCTTTTTCTGTTTATGTGGTGCTGAGGAATCGAACCCAGGGCCTTATGCTTGCAAGGCATGCACTCTACCGCTGAGCTACCTTCCCAGCCCCAAGGTCTCCTGCTTGTTAGGTAAGTGCTACTTCAGATCATATCTCCAGATTTAATTCATTCTTCTCTGAGGTTGTTTTTGAACCAACATTTAACACACAAAATCATGGTATAGCCCGTAATTTTCAAATTACTTATAAACTCAGCTAATTAAATATAAAGATAAGGCTAAAAGGGTAATTAGCATCTTAAGGAACTAGAAAGAGATAACAGGTTTACAAGCTTGATTTTGTTTAAGGTAGAAAATCTAAGACTGACTCTTCAGCTTTTGTTTGCCATCCTAGTTACTGGGGTTCTTACCAAGACTTCTCCCAGGTCATTCAGCATCAAGCAGTTTCTGGCCAAGAAACAAAAACAAAATTGCCCCACTCCCCTAGTGGATTCAAGAACAAAATCAGGTACAACTCCAAGAGAAGACACTGGTGGAGAACCAAGCTGGATCTGTAAGGAATTGTACAATGCCCACATATTTATACTCTACCAAGAACCAGTCAAGCTACAATGTCAATATTGCCTGGACTGATAGTTGGGCTTTTAAAAATGATTTTTCTTTGGTTATTTTAAGAATGGGTGCATGGGCTGGGAAGGTAGCTCAGTGGTAGAGTGCTTGCCTTGCATGCATGAGGCCCTGGGTTCGATTCCTCAGCACCACATAAGCAGAAACAGCCAGAAGTGGCACTGTGGCTCAAGTGGTAGAGTGCTAGCCATGAGCTGAAGAGCTGAGGGACAGCACCCAGGCCCAGAGTTCAGGCCCCACGACTGGCAAAAAAAAAAAAAAAAAAAAAAAAAAGAATGGGTGCAGTAATAAATATGTGAAACCTTATATTTGAAAAGAAAAAAATCATGGTGGCTCATACCTATAATCCAAGTTACTCAGGAGGCTGAGATCTGAGGATCATTATTTCTAAGGAAACCAGGAAAATGCCTGAGACTCTTATCTCCCATAAACCACCAAAAAGCTGTACAAGGAGCTGTGGTTTAAGTGGTAGAGCACTAGCCTTGAGTACAAAAGCTCAAGGACAGAGCCTAGGATCTGAGTTCAAATCTCAGTACTGGCACCCAAAAAAAAAAAAAATGAAAGGAAGGAAGGGAGAAAGAAAGAAGGAAAGAAAAAGAAAGAAGAAAAAAATATATGAGACTGGAAGCCATTTTCTTAAATACAATTTAGTTTTCAGTCAGTTCACATAATCAATTACCGTTTTATCTTCATCCACGAAAATCTCTCTGGCTTCCTCATAATTGCAGAGTTCTTCATAGCACTCTCTTTCTAGGTCACCTGGGGTGAAGAGCTCCAAATCAAATCTATTGTATAGGAGGCGGCGATGAATGAAAAAATTTGCTTCTTCTTTTGATTTAAAGACTAATAAAAAAATAAAAGTAGATTTTAAACATTAGTTGTAAAAATAATGCAGAAACCTTGTCATAATTGCAGAAAAAGTAAATTATTGTCCTGATGCGGCTAAATTTTACCGAATGTTCTTTTTTTGTGTGTTTGTCCCAATATTGGGGCTTGAATTCAGTAAAGACCTGAATGCTATCCCTTGTTTTTTTCCATTCCAGGCTGGTGCTTTTCCACTAGAGCCATAGCTCTACTTTCAGTTGTTTGGCAGCCAATTAGAGATAAGAGTGTAATAGATGAGTCTACCTAAATTAGCTTTAAACCTTGATCCTCATATCTCAGGCTCCAGAGAAGCTAGGATTATAGGCATGTGCCACTGGTTACTTGGGCCATATTCTCAGTGGCTTTAAAATCTGACCCAAAAAGTTGGTGGTGGAGCTGAAGCTTAAGTTGTAGAGCATCAGTTAAAAAAAAAAAAAAATTGCTGGTTGTGGGGCTTGAACTCTGGGCCTGGGCGCTGTCCCTCAGCTCTTCAGCTCAAGGCTAGTGTTCTACCACTTCAGCCACAGTGCCACTTCCAGTTTTGTGAGTGGTTTATTGGAGATAAGAGTCACACAGACTTTCCTGCCCAGGGTTGGCTTTGAACCGAGATCCTCAAATCTCAGCCTCCTGAGTAGCTAGGATTATAAGTGTGAGCCACTAGAGCCAGGTAAAGCTTTTTACTTAGTAAAAAAGCCATTTCTGCCTTTTTCTATTTATGTGGTACTGAGGAATCAAACCCAGGGCTTGCTGAGCAAGTACTCTATCACTAAGCTACATTCCCAGCCCCTGTGAGACTCTTATCTCCAAGTAACCACCAGAAAACCAGAAGTGGAGCTGAGGCTCAAAGTGGTAGAGCACTAGCCTTAAGCAAAGGGACAGTGCTCAGGCCCTGAGTTCAAGCCTCACAACTGACAAAAATAAAGATCTGGTCCTTAATCCCTATCTCTGACCTCACTTCCTACCCCTTATCCTTAAATTTTCTGTTGTGCACTCTGAGCTGGCTTCTATCACTTTGAATCTTTCCTCTGTTCAATTGCTGTTTCCTTTGAATAGAACTCTTCTTTCAGTTTGCCCCCATACTTCCTTTCAAATTAATTTCAATGTATCATTGAACACTTTTTCCTATGCAGCCAGCGTGAACACTCTCCATGGTGCCTGCTGCTTTCTAGAGCATTTAGCACCACCTGGTGTTCTATATGCTTCATTTACTCATCTGTCACCACTGCTCTTGCTAGAAGGCATTCTCCATGGAAACAGAATTGTTGGGACCTGGCACAAAAGAAATTACTTACAAAAAAAAAAATCACTAAAAAAAGGGGAGGGGGGAGGCTGGGAAGGTGGCTCAGTGGTAGAGCACTTGCCTTGCATGCATGAGGCCCTGGGTTCAATTCCTCAGCACCACATAAGCAGAAAAAGCCAGAAGTGGCACTTTGGGACAGTGCTCAGGCCCAGAGTTCAGGCCCCATGACTGACCAAAAAAAAAAAAAAAATTACTGCATGAAGCTGGGTTCTGGTGGCTCATGCCTGTAATTCTAGCTACTCAGAAGCTGGGTTCTGGTGGCTCATGCCTGTAATTCTAGCTACTCAGAGGGTTGAAATCTGAGAACTGTGGTTTAAAGGTAGCCCAAGCAGAAAAAAGTCTTTAAGACTCATAACTCCAATTAACCAACAAAAAAACTGGAAGTGGAGGTATGGTGCAAGTGGTAAAGTACCAGTTTTGAGCAAAACAAACAAATGAGAGCACAAGGCCTTGAGTTCAAGCCCAAATGCCAGCACACGCCATCGTGCGCGCGCGCACGCGTGCACACACACACACATACAATTACTTTACTGCACAAGAAAACTCAACTTTCCAACTGCTGATAGATATTCTTGGACCTAACACACACACACACACACACACACACACACACACACACAAAATTACTTTACTGCACAAGAAAACTCAACTTTCCAACTGCTGATAGATATTCTTGGACCTAACACACACACACACACACACACACACACACACACACACACACACACACACACACACACACACAAAATTACTTTACTGCACAAGAAAACTCAACTTTCCAACTGCTGATAGACATTCTTGGACCTAACACACACACACACACACACACACACACACACACACACAATTACTTTACTGCACAAGAAAACTCAACTTTCCAACTGCTGATAGACATTCTTGGACCTAACACACACACACACACACACACACACACACACACACACACACACACACACACACAATTACTTTACTGCACAAGAAAACTCAACTTACCAACTGCTGATAGACATTCTTGGACCTAGATATAATGTGGTAGAAATCAACTTGGTTTAAAGTACTGAACAAGTTAGTGATGAAGGAACTCATCAGCTGATTGACTTAGCCATACTTATTGCATGAATCTGCCTCTGTAATGCTACTTCTCAGATCCTCCCAGATCATCACCTTTTATTGGCTAAAGAAGCAATGCTACCTTTCTCATGGTAGGTTACCTGACATAAATATACCCTCCATCCATCCTTCAACTCAATTAATAATGACTTTAAATTTGAAAGGAAAATAAAAAAGGGACAGGTGTAAACATTTTTATTTTCTTGAAATGATTTTTATGCCAATATATCATGATATTATGATTGATGCTGTATTAAATATGCCTTCAGGAGGCCCTTTCCTGTTTGGTACTTCCTTGAGGATGACAGTGTTGACTGTCAGTGGGACTTAAGCTTTGTGCCAGATCTTTTTTTTTTTTTTTTGCTTCACCTATGATCTGAGGAGAAATACTCTCCTCTGTCATTTAGAGTTTAAATATCCCTTGATTTGTTTCTAATTTGAAAGAACCAAACTTCCCTGCTTCTGAAATATCTTTGGGGTTCTATGAGGGCTGTTATTTTCCTTGAGCACTACTGAAGAGTGCACTAACTTTTGTGGTTTCTTTTTTTTTTTTTTTTCTTTTGTCGGTCGTGGGGCCTGAACTCTGGGCCTGGGTGCTGTCCCTTAGCTCTTCAGCTGTAGCCTAGCGCTCTACCACTTGAGCCTCAGCCCCACTTCCAGCTTTTTCTGCTTTTGTGGTGCTGAGGAATCGAACCCAGGGCCTTATGCATGCAAGGCAAGCGTTCTACCACTGAGCCACCTTCCCAGCCCCAAGTGCACTGACTTTTTTACATTTCTTTGATTCTCTTCCCTCCTCTGCTTTTCTTTTCTCTTTATTTTTATTGTTGATAAGGGGGCTTGAACTCAGATCCTGAGTGCTGTCCCTGAGCTCTTTTGCTCAAAGCTAGCACTCTACCTCTCTGAGCCACAGCTCCATTTCCAGTTTTCTGGTGGTTAATTGGAGATAAGAGTCCCATAGACTTTATTGCCTAGGCTGGCTTTGAACCATGATCCTCAGATCTCAGTCTCCTGAGTAGCTCACTACTACTTGTAGTAGTGAGCCACCAGCACTCAGTGTAAGGTTTGGCAAAAGAGGACTATCACATGGTTCAGGCAGAAAACATTTTATTGGAGGGAGAGCAAACTGCTGGCTCCCAGGAAATGAAAACATGAAGAGAAAGAAGGAAAAAAAGAAGGAGGAAGAGAGGAAGAGAAGAGTGGGGGAACTTGTGGTTGAGTGGGATTATATAAGGAAAGGCTGGGCAGTGTGACCACAGTGGATGTGAGAGTGATTTCAGAGCCTGGGGAGCCTCTCACCTTCCAAAGGAGGTATGACTGGGGCGATTCAGGAAGTACCCTCAGTGGATGAGGAAGTGACCTCAGAGTCTGGGGTCCTTTGCTGACTCACAGTCAGGTGATTACTGGTTTCAGGCAGGTGATTTCTGGTAAGGCTCTGTGCCCTCTTTGTTGAAGAGGAAATGGGAAAGGGCTATTCTTCTTGGCAGACCTGACACCCAGCACCTCTGTTTTTCTTGTCTTGAACTATGATATAAGGCTGCCCATATATTTCATTGTGACAAATCTACAAATCCATTCTCTTCCTCTTTTCTATATCCATATTTTCTAAATAAGCTCCTTTTAAGTCATTCCAACTTTAATGCTTTATCGGAATTTGGCTGAAGCCCCCTCCCCTTTCCATTTACAATAGTAAACCCTTATCTAAAATTTCATCTTCCACAGTTTTTATCTGAGGTCCACTATGGTTTGAAAATATTCAACAGAAAATCCCATAAATAAATAATTCACAAATTTTAAGTTGCATGTTATTCTGGGCAGCATGATAAAAATCTTCCTCACTTTTAAAAAAAATTTATTTATTTTTTATTGTGAAAATACTGTACAGAGGAGTTACAATTAGATGGGCACAACTGGAGATAAGACTTTCATGGGCTTTCCTGCCCTGGCTAGCTTTGAACGCAATCCTCAGATCTCAGACTTCTGAGTAGCTAGGATTACAGGCATGAGCCACGATGCCAGCCTGAATTATCTTTTTATCTAGAGTATCCACACCATATATACTACCTGCCCATTAGTTGCTAACCACCTTGGTTATCATATCAGTGTTATTTTGTTTTTGTTTCTGAGCCAATCCTGGGGCTTGATCTAGCGGGCCTGGGCAATGTCCCTGGGCTTTTGTGTTCAAGGCTGGCATTCTATCACTTGAGCCACAACAACACTTCTGGCTTTTAAAGAATTGTTATTATAAAGGCGATGTACAGAGGAGTTTTTTTTTACATAAGTCAGGTAAAGGACTTCTTTTCTTCCTTCCTTCCTTCCTTCCTTTCTTTCCTTTTTCTTTCTTTCTTTCCTTCTTCCTTTCTTTCTGTTGTTGGTCTTGGGGCTTGAACTCAGGGCCTGGATGCTGTCCCTGATCCTTTACACTCAAGGCTAGAGCTCTACTCCTTTGAGCCACAGTGCCACTTCCAGTTTTCTGTCAATTAATTGGAGATAAGAGCGTGCTTGGGCTAGCTTTGAACAGTAATCCTCAGATCTCATCCTCCTAAGACACTAGGATTATAGGAATAAGCCACTGGAGCCCAGCCTAAGAGCACATGCCTTTTTGAATACCTTCCCTTATTCAATCCACTTCTGGCTTTTTGATGGTTAATTGGAGGTAAGAGTCTCACAGACTTTCCTACCCAGAATGGCTTTGAAGGATGATCCTTAGATCTCAGATCCTCAGATCCTGAATAGCTAGGACTGAGTCACTGGTGCCTAGCCCACAGTTGTTCTTTGTTTTTTGTTGTTTGTTTGTTTTTGTTTTGGGGCGGTCCGGTCCTGGGGCCTGAACTCTGGGCCTGGGCGCTGTCCCTTAGCTGTTCAGCTCAAGGCTAGCGCTCTACCACTTGAGCCACAGCACCACTTCCGGCTTTTTCCCCCCTGCTTATGTGGTGCTGAGGAATCGAACCCAAGGCCTCATGCATGCAAGGCAAACATTCTACCACTGAGCCACCTTCCCAGCCCCCCAGTTTTTTTTTTTTAATGTAAAATTTTCATTTTTATATAGTTTTAGTAGCACTGGAGATTCAACTCAGATTTAATGGTAGATGCTCAGCCCGTTTCATAGTTTATAATGTCCTTCACAGAAACTTTTATGCCTGTGTCATATGGATGAATGAATGGATGAATGAATGAATGAATGAATATCAAAAGCATTCTGGGCAGGAGCATCTGCTCCTACTGAGTATAGGCCATCAACCTCATATACAGATATTTTTACCTACATGTTATGACTTGGGAACATACCATAATCATGGTGTACCAAGAAGGATGCCCCTCTTTCCAAAATCCTTCCTGATTCTCACCAAGTAGCCTACCTGGTTTCCTAGAATTCTATTCCTTTAGGCTCCCCTTTATTCCTTTATTGCCCCCCCCACACATACAGAGTTGTATTAATTATTATTAAGTTTGTAAATATGTCAGGAGTATTCTTCTCCAATGAAAATAGTATCTAGTGGGGTGCTGGTAGCTCACACTTATAATCTTAGCTACTCAAGAGGCTGAGATCTGAGGATCATAGTTAATAGTTAAAAGTCAGCCCAGGCAAGAAGGTCTGAGAAACTCTTTTTTTTTTGGCCATTCCTGGGGCTTGAACTCAGGGCCTGGGCACTGTCCCAGAGCTGCTGCTTCTTCTTTTTTTAAAAAAAATTAATATATTTTTTCTTTTTTTCCCCCCTTCTCCCCTCCCCCCCGCCAGCTTCTTTTGCTCAAGGCTAATACTCTACCACTTGAGCCAGTGTCACTTATGGCTTTTTCTGTGTATGTGGTACTGAGGAATTGAACTTAGGGCTTCATGAAATGCTAGGCAAGCACTCTACCACTAAGTCACATTCCCAGCCCCTCTGAGAAACTCTATCTCCAATTAACCATCTAAAAACCAGAAATGGAGCTGTGACTCAAAGTGGTAGAGCACTAACCTTGAGCAAAAAACTGAGGCCCTGACTTCAAGCCCCAGGACCAACCAAAAAGAAAACAGAAAAGAAAATGGGATCTGATGAGGAAGGATAAGGGACAGAATGTGTTACTTATTTATTTTTATTTTATTTTTTACAATCCTGGGGCTTGAACTCAGGGCCTGGGCATTGTCCCTGAGCCTCTTTGTGTTCAAGGCTAGTGCTCTACCACTTGAGCCACAGCATCACTTCTGGCTTTTTCTGAGTAGTTTATTGGAGATAAGAATCTCATGGACTTTCCTGCTTGGGTTGGCTTTGAACTGGGATCCTCAGATCTCAGCCTCCTGAGTAGCCAGGATTACAGGTGTAAACCATCAACACCTGGTATTAAGTAAATTTGTAGTGGTGGTCAAGAAGGGAATCACAATGACTAGACAATAAGTAGGTTGTCTAGCCATTGTTTTCTTCTGGTCTTGCTAGGTAGGGTAAGCTTTCAAATGCAGCAGGAACCCAAGGATTATGACCCAAACTTAAAAGCCATAGCATTCAGGTAAGCAAGTCTCACACTCAATCTCTCAGCCATCTGCCCTTATCTAGACAACTAGATATTTGAGTCAAAAGGACCCTAAAAATCTGCCTCTCATCCTCCCTCATGTTATAGAAAAAGGCACTAAAAATTCCCAAGGGATTAAGGGCCTTAACTTGTTCAGGGTCTCAGAAATCCAAACTAAAGGATATAGCTCTGTGGTAGAACATTTCCTTACCATGAGACTCCCAGCAATGCAAAAAAAACAAGCCCAGACAAGATTCTCGACTCTCTGTCCGTCTTTCCATGAAGTAATTGTGCTCATTACAATACTACATTAGCTTTATCCAGGAAAACAATCGCTTAATGATTTTTTTTTTAGAAGTCCAAATAGGCTTTCCATTCAGTGAACCACAAACCAGATTTGTCTCTGTCTCTCTCTTTCGTATACACACACACACACACACACACACACACACACACACACACACACACACACACACACACACAGAGAGAGAGAAACGTATCAAAGAAAAGCGCAGGGAGGAAGTGGCGCTGTGGCTCAAGTAGCAGAGCGCTCGCCTTGAGCTGAAGAATGCAGGGACAGCGCTCAGGCCCAGAGTTCAAGCCCCACGACCGACCAAAAAAGAAAAGAAAAGAAAAACGCAGGGAGACGAATTTGTACACATCATACATCATAGTTAAAAACTTAAACCTCCACAACATCACCAAGTAAGCCACAAACTAAAGGATATTTTAGTGCTTTTCTGGTTTACCTACTATAGGTATCCATCGGGAAAAGTGTGTTGTGTAATTCCAAAATGCAGTTTCTCGATTGCTAACTCTAGCAGGTGGCTCGAGTTTGCAGAAAGGTTTTCTGCGAAACTGCAGACATGCTTATGTACAGCAGTCATGCTTATTTACCTTCTTCTCCAGCATGCCTGGCATCCTTCAGAGTTCTTGCGCAATGAGGAAACGCGAAGGTAGCTAGGGGCAGTTGGCTGAGTAGAATCAGAAGTGAAAACATAGTCTGACGACTGTCAGGGAAACTAAAACCAACAACAACAAAAAAGCACATCAAAGAAAAGACCCGATCTCAGCACTTCGAGTTTCGGTGGCAAACTGAGTCACAAATCAGTTGTACTCAAAAGCCACCCCCCGACTGCGCCCCACCCGCAGTTCCGGTGGCCCCAACTCAACGCGCGCGCGCACCCGGCCGGTGGCCCCTGACAGCGCCTGGAGACGAAGACAGGAAACCAAACCCCAGGACTTTAACGAGGACACTTGTCCCCTGTGTTTTGCGTTGGAGTCCGACCTGCTCCGCGGAGGTCCCTCACCTGTTCCCCACTCCGAGTAATTCCTTTCCCCACCCGGGCACCGTGGCGCAGCGCTTCCCCCCACCCCAGCCCGCACCCCGCACCTGAGCTCTCCCGCACATGTTCCAGCAGTTCCCGGGCCGGAGCCCCGGGGTTGGGTTGTCCTTAAAGCCTCCAGGCCCTTTTGTCTCCGGCGGCCCCCTTTAACTCTCGGCCACACTCAGGCTCTCGCGCTCCGCAGTGCCGGACTCTGCGCGCTGTGAGCGCCGAGGGTCCGCGGAGGAGCGCGCGGGGATCTGGCACCGCCCGGCCGAGCTCCGGCCTGCGTCTCCGGCGGCTGTCGGGGAGGGGGATCAGTGGGAAGAGGAGGAGGCGGCTACCAGGGGGAGCACCTGGCGAGGCTCCGCCTCCCGGCACGGGGGCGTGGCTTACCTGTGGCTGCTGGGCCTGCGCCGGGCGTCTCCCGGGCCCTGAGCGAGTCAGCTGTTCAGCTTCTGTCCCCAAGCTTGGGTAAGTTCGGGTTCCCCAACCCCTGCCCCTGCCCGCCGTGGCCCCGCCTCGGCAGCGCGGGTGGTACATTTAGGATTCATTTCTCCATCGGGCTTTCTCTGCGAATTCCAGGGAGCATCTCAGTTCTTCCAAGAACGCCCTTGGCACTTGGAAGACTTTTTCTGCTTTGCGTTGCATTAAGCGAGGAGTCTGAGGTTACCTTTGGCCGTTCTCAATCGAGAACTAAGTACTCATCAGACAAAATCATTTCGTGAGTGATAGGGAATAAGAAGAAGCCTAAAAATGAATTGATACATGGAATTCATTAGGTCTGGGGTGTCTCCAAAATCTTTTTAAGGTGTCTCTCTCCCAGGTCAAAATGATTTCCATTATGAAAACAAGAATTGAGTTTTGCCTTTTTCACCTTCATTCTTTCAAGAGTGTACAGTGGAAATTTCCGGAGGTGATTTCATATGACAGGAATGACATCATCATTCTGCTAACAAAATACCAGTGGCACATGCTTGAGTTTTCGAGTATTTTTCTATGATGTAGGATTAGAATCAAAGGTAATTTTACATCGAGATTAATGTAAGATTTATAAAGATGAATAAAGTTTGCTTGTTCTCAATACTTTTGAACTTTTGTTATTTTTAGTCATATCTATCAGGATCATTAAGCTCATTAATCTCAAATAATCTTGAACTTGACATTGAGTTTATGTGGTAAAACACAGCAAGAGAGAAAATAAGTACACTGTCTTGGTTTAATGTAACATTTTGGAAATTCTCTGATGCTACTAGAATAATGTAATAATATAATGTAATGGTGTAATTCACATAAATAAAAGGAGTAAAGAATATGAAGAAGCTCTGAGATCAATGTCGAAGAACTGTTGTCTCAAATAATGAAAGCTGGTGGACAGAGCACCTGTGCCAGGTGATAGTCATATTCTTCCTTGCTGAACAGTTCTTTGGAACATTATTTTCATTCTTTGGCCAATGTGGCTTGACATTTGCTAAAAGAAAAAAAAAAAGGAATGAAAAAGTAAACGTTTTTTCTAATCTTTGATTAATTCACTTTCTATTAAACCCCTCTTTTTCCAAAGCTACTATTTTATTTATTTATTTTATTTAGCTACTCCTGGGGCTTGAACTCAGGGCCTAGGCACTGTCTCTGAGCTTCCTTTAATGCTCAGAAGGCTAGCTCTCTACTACTTAAGCCACAGAGCCACTTCTGGCCTTTTCTGTTTATATAGTACTGAGAGATCAAACTCAGGGCTTCATGTAGCTGCTAGGCAAGCACTTTACCATTAAGCCACATTCCCAGCCTTACTATTTTATTTTATCCAATGAGTTCTTCCTAAGCACTGTTCAGACATTCTGCTTTCACTCTCTTCTTCTAGACAATGTTTTCTCTTTTCCCTTTCTCCATTCTCTTCTTTCTTCACTCCCCCCATTTGTGTGTGTGTGTGCGCGCATGCTAGTACTAGGGATTAAACTCAGGGCCTCCAGCTCTGCTTTGGCTTTTTTACTCATATCTAGTACTTTACTGCTTGAGCTATATCTCCAGTTTCACCTTTTTGCTGGTTAATTGGACATTAAGAGTCTCCTGGACTTGTCTGCATGGTCTGGCTTTAAACTTCAATCCTCAGATCTCAACTAGGATTATAGTTGTGAGCCATTGGGGCTTGGCTCTTTTATTTAAAGAATTGAGACCAGACTGAAGGAATTAGAAATAATTTCTTCTGCTTGAACAGAACAGGAAATACTCACTCTTCAGTTTATTCACTCAGGAAAGGAGCCCTGAGATAGAAAGATAAACCTTACAGTCTACATTCTGGAGAACTGGATTGGGCTGAAATCTAGATCTAAGAACAAGGGCCTGTAAGGCAGAAGCAGACTTCTTTCCATTACTGAGCATAGTGCCTTCTGCATTATGTTTGCCCCACACATTCTGTTAGGTGGTAATAATATTAATTTTCAAGTAGGAAAAGTGCTTCACACTGCTTTGACAGAGGCAAATAGTCAGATGTTTCTCTCTGTTTTTCCCCTCTTCCCCCCAGCAAATCTGAACTTTGACTACATTCTTTAGTAGAATAAGTCCACCCACATATTGGGATATTTAGACCCAAACAAATGTGGCTTTGTAATCTCATCAACTATCAGAGTCATATAGAGATGTGAAAGTCTGTTTGTTAGTGGTGAATTATCCCTGCATGTTATGTATCCTTTGGAATATGGGCCTAGATGAGGTTATAACATTTGGCAGGATGCACACAAACTTCAACTGTTATAAAACTGCAAGAGATTCTGGATTCACAACAGAAAGAAAAAAAAAAAAAGGATAGTCTGTAACTACAGTGTCCAAGATTGTTGATTTCTTTCATTGTTGCATCCATTTTCTTTCTTTTTTCTTTTTCTTTCTTGTCAGATGTGGAGCCTGAACTCTGGGCCTGGGCTCTGTCTCTCAGCTCTTCAGCTCAAGGCTAGAACTCTACCACTTGAGCCACAGCGCCACTTCCGGCTTTTTCTGCTTATGTGGTGCTGAGGAATCGCACCCAGGGCCTCATGCGTGCAAGGCAAGCCCTCTACCACTGAGCTACCTTTCCAGCCCCTGCATACATTTTCTTATTTCATGCCATTTGCCTTTTAAAGTTACAGTGTTCTGATGCCTTGCTTCAAAGCATCCTTTTCCAGATAGTATTTCCTTCATTCTGGGCAGATGTTATGATTCACATTTCACAAGGGGACATTGAAGCATGAAAGAAATGAATGATCATTGGACAAGTATTAGATTCTTCACTCTTTCCAGTGCTTACTTTTGAGTTATTAAGCAATGAAGGGCAGTGAGCAAAGAGTTATTTCATTTCAAAGGAAATAAGACACAAAGAAATCACAGCAATGAGATTAATGGGCTTGGGTTAATGTGAAAAGCATCTGTGAGTTTGAGCACACACCCACCCGTTTACCTGTGTGAATTCAAGAATGAAATGGAAACTGGCTTCTCAGTGTGGGTATGAAGACTGACTCAAAGACTGTGGCAGGAAATGTTAAGGTTGCAGCCATGAAACTGTGCAAGGTAAGGTCACCAGCACATCCTTAAAGACACACGGATGACTGTATCAGCAGACTACTCTGAGGAGGAGAGCAACTTTCCTCAACTTGATGATTCTGTGACATTTTAGTCCTGACATTTTAGCTCAGTAAAGTCAGTAAGTGAAAAGTAAAAGACTCCTACTCTCCAAGGTTGATTATACATCTGCAAATAAGTATTTTCAGGTTCACCAAATAGATAAAGGAGTTAAAATTTTCACATAAAATATTTGCTGAAAACCCTCCTAGGAAACTTTGACAAATCTTATGGTTAATTCTGTCATTTAAGAAGAATTACTATTAAGAACAAAACAAAATTAAATTGAGAACAGTGGGAAAGTTACCTGGCTTCTTGTTTCCTCTCAAGCTATGCCCAGTGATAAGAATTATATGTCATGATTAAAAAAATAATCCTTCTAGTCCTTACTGGGCACACAGGAACTTGTATCTGTGTGATTCTAAGTTGCCTCCTGGGCTTATGACAAAGACTTGTGTCACAGCTTGCCATAGAACTGTAACTTGTATTATTACAACTGTAACACTGCACTCACTCACTCATCATTCTATTAGCAGAATCATATTACAGCCTGTGTGTGACATAATCCTTTTCCTTCATTCCTCCCTCCCCTTCTCCCTTCCTTTTTACCTCCCTTCCTCTCTTCCTTCCTTCCCTCCCTCCTTCCTTTTTTCATTTGTGCAAGTACTGGGGCTTGAGCTCAAGGCCTGGGTGTTGTCTGCTAGCTTTTTCACCCATTCTAGTATTTTATCAGTTGAGTCACACTCCAATTTCAGCTTTTAGATGGTTAAATGTCTCGTGGACTTTATTGCCAAGGCTGGTTTTGAACCATGATCCTCATATCTCAGCATTCTGAGTAGCTAAGATTACAGGTGTGAGTCACCAGCAGTGGCTGAGTCTTTCCTCTTCCTCCTCCTCTTCCTCCTCTTCTTTCTCCTCCTCCTCTTCTTCTTCCTCCTTCTTCCTCCTCCTCATCTCTTCCTCCTCCTCCTCCTCTTCCTCCTCTTCCTCCTGCTCCCTTCTTCTTCTCCTTCTCTCTTCTTCTCTTTCTTCTTTTGTTGAGATAGGGTCTTACCATGTAGCCCAGGATGGCTTTGAACTCCCAATCCTTCTCCTTCAGCTTCCTGGGAGTCTGTGTTACAGGCTTACACTGCCATTCCTGCTGCCACACAATTTTTCTGACCTATTTTTGTAAATTCATCATGAACAGATTTTTTTTGTGCACAAGTTCATTTGGTATTAATTGCAAAACAATACATTTCATACACAATGAGTATTCAAACAAATCATACATTTCCATGTTCTAAACTTGGTAGTGCCCAAGAATCATTCACTGGCTGGGGCTCTACCTTAATGGTAGAATGATTACCTTGGTAGTAGCAGTGGAAGACTCTGGATATCAAGCAACTACAATCACTAGTACTCTGGAGGATGATGCAGGAGGATCAGGAGTTTGACACCAGCTTGGGCTGCATAGAGAGAAAGACAGTAATTCAGTGACAACATTGCTGATTCTTTTGTCTTTCTGTGGTGAAAGTTACTCATTTGTTATGTTACATATCACCTATCTTGAAGCTCTCAAATATAAGGTTGAGTTTTAAAATATAGAGTGTGGATTTTTAAGTATCATATCTTTTGCTGCAGTACACTGATGGCTTTCATAAAATTTATGTGTGGCCCTTGCTTACTTTCAACAATCCCACCTTGTAAATTGCTTGAGAGCCAAAGAAAAAATGTTTTACCCATTTAGAGCCA